CTACTATAATAATAATAATAATAATAATAATAATAATAGGCCTGTGTATAATATCAATTATAATTTTGATAATAATGGTTAATGATAAATAGGCAGTGGATATTGTTACACTAGTCTTAAACGAATTCCTAATTCTGATTGGATGCTACTGTGGATTGTATTAGGAAAATAATATCAAATCAGAATCAAGAGATCGTTTAAAATTTAAAACAACAGCCACTGCCTAATAAATAATTAAAAAAATACAATAATTTACATTTTTTAAATTTATTTTATTCCTTCTAGCATACAAACATTAAGATATACAGAGAAGAGCTGCGGAAGGCAAAAGCGAATAATAATAATAATAATAATAATAATAATAATAATAATAATAATAATAATAATAATAATAATAATAATAATAATAATAATAATATTAATATAATAAAATATGAATAATACTATTATGATAACATTATTATAATAATTATTATAATAATTAACAAAAATAATAATCTTTCTCTGAATGTACACATCACTATAGTCGAAAAACTCATCCATGCGACCAGATTGTTTTACTGTTCTTGATGTCATTAGAAAAAATACTGGCAAAGGTTAACGCAATGTACTTCAAATTGTTTGGTAATGGTAATCCTAAAACTATATTTAAGATTGTTTTTACAAGGATCAAGTCTATGTTTTTATAGTTCCTTCAGTATCAATAGACAGCATACTGTGAAAATAATAGGCTTAATAAGTTAACAACAATGTCTTCTTGTCTATCAAAGTTCATTTGGTCTTATGTTTTATATTGCGGAATGAACGAAGCAATTTTCTTCCCTAGTGACCTTCGTCTTCATGTATTATTATATTATGTAAACAGTTGACTTGAATCTCCATACTCGTATTAGAATGTTCAGAATTCTTACGTATTTATCCGGCTGCGGGGTTGATAGTGTAACGTAACTTTACGTCTGGTCATTGTACCTTTGGGAGGTTCAGTGCCCTCTCCTTATGATCCGACGAAGGGATAAAAACCAAACAATTTCATTTTCGGTTACTAGAATCCCTATTAAGGGGACACCATCGGGACCAAAATGTGTGTCCCCTAATAAAGGTGTAGTGTTCAAAGATCTACTTTCTCTCGTTTTGCAGCCGAAAGAGTGTCCCCTTAATAGGGGTGTCTCGCAGGAGAGGTTTTACTGTATGCCTTGATTTCAACACTCCCCGGTTGTGTTCCGACCGTGGGGTAGCACAGGCAACGTTTTTCATACCGAAGCCTCTGTGCCTAAACACTGTAGAGCGTTTAATCCCATCGGATATCCATTTACCCGAAATTAATCTTAATTAATCTCATTATACAATTAGTGTTTGGTTCGGTGTTATATGAATTTAAAAATAAAAGCATAACATTTACTTTATCGCTTTTTGTCGTCACCCAGTCAGTTAGTGAAACGTGTCGGTATTCGCAAACTCCTTCTTACTAACGATTCGTCACATATTCCATTTGAAATGGACCTACATTTGTCACTATCCTCAGTAGTCTATATATTTTAAAACAATATTAAGCAGTTGGCATCGACGTTGGCAAATATAAGAATAAATCATTCAGTGAATAATCACGTGATTTATTATAATGACGTCATGCCATTATTACTAAAGTATAATGTGTCTGCCTGGTAATTTTTAAAAGTAAAAGTCAGATGTTAAGGATTGTACAGTATTTGCTGTGTTGTGACTATGTTTCGAAATTTTATGTATTCCTTTTAACAAGCCAATGTATACTATTATTTATATTCACAAGATGGAACATGTTGAAAT